GACATTATCTGTTTACGTAACGGAATTTACTTCTCGCTGTTCTGTTCGATCCTACGTGACGGACGAGTAATATGCATATATTAATAAAAATTAAAATAAAAATATATATATAATGTGGCAGACGTATAATAGGCAAAGCTGAGAAAAGCTGATAGGAAAGCTGAGCTTTAATCAAATAAACGCAAAAATAAACAAATAATGATATTATATATCAGATCTAATCACAACTTCACTAAGGCTCGAACAAAGTACTCTGTGTTTACATTGAGTCGTTTTTTCACACATCTCAGCGAATTTTGCGATTGTTTGTTTACTGAATAACAGAATAAGACGAAGAAGAAGAAAATTCTATTCGAATTTTCAAGAGCAATTGAGTTTTTCAACTGTGGTTTTTTCAACTGTGTTGTCGAAATCAATCAATGGTACGCCGCAGTTATGATATGATTTTGAGTATTTGCAATAATGAAGCCTAACACGGATGATGGATAAAGTTGTACAAGGTTGGACTAATTCCAAATTCAAAATTCATATGAATCTCTCTCTATTAACATAGTGTTCGCCATAGGTGATATTCTATCTAACACTCGATGCAAAATAATAATGCAGCGATAACTGGCAGATAAATTTCTATGCAGATAGCATTCGGAGAAACAATAAATAAATGGATGCAAAAAGAAAAGATTACAAGCATATTCTGGCGCTGTAACCGGCCATTAATCGTAAGGGAAGACAATGTATTTTCTTGTTATGGATTTTGTGCTGTGAATTTGTATCACATTTGGTATTGATCCGGAGCAGTAATCGCAATAAAACTCTTCACTATCAATTTCGTTCGAAACGAAGATTTTGTAAGTTACACACAACATACAAATAAATAATTACCTTGTTATTTATGAAGGAGCCGTAATGGTGCTCAGCCGTAATACTGCAAGTCGAGTAACAAGACATTTTTACAAAGGGAAATATATTGTTACTGCGTTGCGACTTGGATATCTATGATATCGAAAGCTCTATGCAATCAGTTGTCTATTATTTCTGTATTAGTTTCGATGCAAACTTTTAATAGCTCATCACATGACTCCATTTGCCCGCCTTCAGCGTTCAGCGTTCATCTTAGATAAGAGAGAAATAAAACAAACATCCTTGGCGAGATGTGCAGACGTACTCTCTTATCCAGTGTCTTTGCCAAGTATGCAGCTATCGTGCGTGGGTTACTTCCAAAAAAATGAATGAAGAGAAATAGTATAGTAATATGAGTTACCCGCTAACCATATATTATGAAAAGTTGGAACCGACTTTTTTGCAGAACTGCTTCGATAGTCGTGTTCGTACGAATTGAAAGGCATAGTTTTGATTTCGAATATCGTCGTGTCTTAGGATTAAATCTTAGCAAGCCTACCATGTGATATAGATGCATACCCGATCTTGATGGTATTCCGTCATGTATAGTTGAAATGTGTGGAAGAACTTCTAACTTCTATCTGAGAATGGGCGTTTTTCGTTTTTGCTTGGACGACTGTCCGTTCCGAGTACGAAAAACTTATGCTCGATTTTTTTCATCTTGATACACTCATAACGACGACCGCAGTTTACCTTCCGCGCGTTCTTGTGCATAGATCTATGATCTTTCGCGCTGTTACAAACTTATCTAAGTCTTTTGATGCATCGCGATTGATTTTCTGAAGCATTTGTTTTGTGCCAAACTACATGACCATGACATTATGTGAGCATGCGTTATTTACATACATATATTATATAATATATGTTTGTCGAACAAATGCCTAAGGTTGCGTCCATCTCGCAGTATGTCACAAATCAATTTTGGATTATCGGTTCGTGCAGAGAATTAAGGGTTTTTTTGGCGCGGTAAATGACTTTGGACAAAGGGCACGACGAAGCTGATTACACGAGCAGTTAACCGTGACAAAAGACAGAGTTGTAAAGATAAAAGCGAAAAGAAGCTGATCGATGCACCTTTGTCTGAATAATTTACATGGAACGACGCAAAAAATAATCGAACGAAAATTTTCACGAGTTAGTTCCATTTTCTTGTTGAGGTACAATTTTCACTATAGTCACTATAAAGAGTGCAATTTACTCGCAAATCCCAAAATGTGAAATGTGTGTGGTGATCAAAAATGTTACATTTTCCAATGGGAAATAATGCTTGTTCACAATCTATATTCCCAATCGGATCCAATGTATATATAATTAAATGTACACTATATAGAGTGTTCGCGAATTGTCAATGCCACACCTAAGCCTATAATTATTACTAATAATTAACAAAAGTCGCGTATAATTAGTTAATAAACTAAAAAAAGTGTTTAAACTCTGGTTTGACTGGCTTCGACCTAGTGACGCAATTACATGTCGAAGCGTATTGACGGTGAACGCATTATTTGATCGTTTATGAATACATCTTTTGTTTTCATTTTTCATTTCACAATCGCATTAATTCATTTTAAATTTATCGATTTTAAGTTAACCCTCTTCTCGTTTTTCAATATTAAGAAATTATGCCATTTTTAATACGTTCACGTTCATGCAATACTTAATTCAGTTGAAGTTGTAATTGTATATGAATTAAAAGCGAAAAAAAAAAAAGAAAAAGAATTGAATTTGAAAGGTTAAAAGCTTTTAGGCCAATGTTGAGTTTGAACGTCAACATTCCCGTTAAAAAGCACTGTTCAATAAACACGCGGAATTCAGACGTTTTCTTTTGTTTAAAACAAAAGCAAAAGTGACGTCATTAAAGTCATTGTAACTCGTAAACAAATGATCGAAACGCTATGAACGCTAATCGACAGGCGTAGTTGTTTTTTCTTTTTAAAGATATGTCTGTGCCAGTCCCGGAACTTATTGACCAATATATATATATATATTATTTTATTGAAAATTTCAGACAGCATTGTCACATTTCAAACGCGACTTATGATAATCGTTGCCCGATATGAGACGCTAAACACCACCTATTGGCAAAAATCTCCTAAATATACAGGGAATGGGCAAAACAATCTTAACACTACGCAATATAGTACCATCTTGTTGCACGCACACACATATCAAGTCTTTTAGGTTATCTTTTAACATATTATACGCTTTCTTCACATAAGCTATCGGCGAAATGTGTGTGATTTTATAGACTTCGCAATAGGAGAAGTCATTGGTGCTCGATTCGCGAGAGTATCTGTAACGAAAACAGTTGAATTGTTTAACGTTACACGAGCGGCAGTATCCGCGATAATGACGGCATGCACAGTGCGTGATAAAACATCAGCAGTGACGTAGAATTGTCTTAATGTTAGTCTGTCGGTTAACTGACAGAAACTGACAACCTGACTAAGGCGGATTGTGGTCAGACAACATAGAACTACCGCGTGAAAAGTGGCAGCACAACTCAAAGCTCACTTGAGTAATACCGTTCCAATAGAAATAGTACAGCAGGAGCTTGATTAAGATAACATTCAGGGCAGCAATTGCGCAACCCTTCACCGTAAGCCGTCACCAAACTCTGAAATAAGTGTCGCCAGAATTATAAAAACTAGATACTTGATGATTGGAAGAGTGTGATATGGTCGGCTATATTGTGCTATTCAGCTGGTCCTCTCTTAAGATTAATATATTACTGCCAAATACTGCTTTATTCGAAGATGATGATATGTCCACGCGTGCAGCCAAAAACTTTCAGTTTTGGTTTGAAGAGACATCAGAATATCATCTAACATGATTCCTGACTATCACAATCGCCATCGTTCAACAATTTTCATCTATAAGGTCACTGAAGCAATTGGCGATTTTTTTGGTACAAGAATGGGAAAACTCTTCAGACACTCTACGAATCTATTCCGCAAAGAATCGCAATTGTTCCATAAGCAAATGCTGTCCCAGCATCAATATTGTGCATATGTCACGTGTTCGTGGTATTACAATATTAACTGCCATTCACATGCTTCCCTCGAGTTATGGTTACAATTTTATGATATCGTAGTATCGAATATTTTAAATTTAAAAACTGCTTGTAGATGAAACAGTTACTTAAAACAAATAAGCATTTACGTCGACAAACAATTTTGAAACGTTAAGCTCTTTTTTTCTTTTTTGTTGATAGGGCCAAACTAAAGCATATTTCAACTTCAACTTAAAAGTACGAAAATTCCATAAAGGAAGAGCACTACTGACAAAAAAAAAAAAAAAAAAAAAAAAAAAATTCGTTTCACAATTTTAACAACGGCACACTGCCAAAAAGCAAAAAAAAAAAAAAGTAAAAAAAAATAAAAAAAAATAAAATAGTAATAAAATGTCCCACCGTAGGCTATAAAAATTATTAAAAATGCAACACATGATTTCATTTAACATGCGGAGAGACTACCTAAGTGACAGAACACATACCACACATAAGTTGAGAGAAAGAGAGAGTGAGCAGCGCACGCGAACACCGAAAAGCAAAGACACCGACGAAGACGCTTTTATCATTTTTTCCATCTTTTAGATACAATTGAAATGTAAACAAATCCGTATACTGGAAATGCTCTAATTGGAAAATTCACAGTTGTTTTGAGATTGACTTAGAACCCTCTCTTAAGCCACTTGTTGAGAGACTAGCAAGAGAGCGACGCACCATACTTCTAACTTAAATTGTTTCAACCATGACTTCCAGTTGTTTTAGTTGCAAAGGAAAAAGGAGACAACTAGAAGAAGAAGAAGAAGAAGCAGAAGCAGAAGCAGAAAAAAATTATTATTGAATAAACTGAGAAAACGAGTTGTAATGTATCTCTCAGATACAAGTTATGATCAGTCGCGCTTGGACTTTTAACGCTGATACAACCGTATTCGGATATTTCAATAATAAAACGCGAACTCATAAGAAAACTGAATATAAAAAAAAACTAAAAAACAACAAAAAATTGATTAATAAATAAAATCCGTTTTTTTATGTTAAAAGACATTATTTACTTTTTTGTCTAATTTTTAATTAACTTCATGTTAACTTGAAAAGAAAATTGAAAAAAAAAAAAAAATTTTAAAAAATAAATAAAGAATAGAATTCAAAAAAAATTCGAAATAAATATAGATGAAATTTTCCCAAAGCACTTTTACAGTGTGTATGTGATCTCGTCTTTGCAAATATTTATCGCTGAACAAAGAAAATTTTTTCACTTTTATTTATTTATTTATTTTTTTTTTGGTATTTTTTTTTTTAAGAACAAACAAACAAAAAAAAAATATATTTTGCAATAATGTTCTTTAAAGCATGAGCTCAATTTTATTGTCATTGCCTCAACGCTATAAACGCCATCTGCAAGCAATGACTGTCGCTGTTGTTATCATTTACACCACTTTGGTGTTTCTGCAAAACTCATACGGATATCCCAGCATTGAAGTAAGTCTTCTGTGTGATTATTGCGGCTATTATTGTTCTTATTGCTTTGCAGCGCAATATTAATTAAATTCTCACATAATGAATTTTAATTGCATTAAAAAAATATATATATAAAAAAAATTAAAGCCAAACAAATTCCAAAAGAAGAAAAAAAAAAAAAAAAAAAAGCACAAACAAGTTATTTAAATAGTAATTAACTGAAATAATTAATAATTGCGTGTGCATTGAATTGTTGAGTTGTTCTTTATTAAGGCGGGAAAATATATACCAATAAGTGCATGTGTTCTTCAATCGTTCATAAATATTTATGATGGCATTGATGATCACGATGACGATGATTACGATGATGATGATGGCTGTCGTTAAAATAAGCTAGAAAAGGGCGGAAATACGAATTTCAAGTTAAAGTTAAACCTAGAATGCTAGCTTGAAGGTTATTTTCGATGAGGCTAGGCCAGGTGCAAACGATTTATCATAAAATGCTTTCAACCTCAACTTGTCAATAATGTAAAGTAAACTTCGTTTTGGGATTTTTGATCTCCTCATCCTTTTAAGTGGATTGAGAAGCGTTCCTAATGTATGTGGCTTATTTAATCATACTAGAGGTTCTTATTGGTTTGCAATTTTGTCAATCTGTAGTAATTCATTTGATACTTAGTTTAAAATAATTAAGTGAAGTCAAGTACATCTGTTCAAAAATGATCTCGTTTATCATTAGTTTATATAATTGCTTGATTTTATAGCGACAATGCGACAATGCGGCAACAAGTAATATATATTTACTCAAAATTATTCAAATATTTAGAGTGTACCGAAAAGGGTACACGCGGCATGGAGATAGCACCTATTCATAAGCAACTTGGCAGGAAACTTGTTAAACAATTCGTTGCCTTCGTTACGGTACAAACGTAATTATGGTCTTAGATCAATGTTGAATGGACACTGTAGCAAGCAAATCAAATGAAAACTGTTGTAGTATGATAATTTTAGAAAAGAAAGTAACTGCTCCCAGTTAGCAAACAATACAATTTCTATGCGATCTGTTTTCTAATGGCTGCTTTTCCTTCGTTACGTTAAGAGAGATGTAAACTCATTCATATTTTAATGATAGTAAAATTTTTATTTTATCTCTTTTCTTTTCAATCAGGGCATCTAATAACTTTCTCTTTCTGAACGTGGATTCATTTTGATAGACTCATTCGGAGAATGTAGTTACTTTTTTAGGCTTTACTATAGGTTACTTCGGTGTAAAAGTTTTTACCACACTACACTGAGAGTATTGCGAGTGTTCGCTACTCCTGCTGTAGAAGTAGTTGAGGCAAAATTGTGAAACTTGGCTTTCTTTGCCTACGCAACTGTTTCTCGTGATAGCAAAGCAAAAATAAGTCGATTGAATCGAAGATAGCGTTACCGGGCATTTGCAGAATATTTGAAGAGTGCATTTTTTTTTTTTTTAAACAGTCTGCTAAGCCATAAAGAAGAAGCCACAAAAGAAAAATTTTATTCTTTACACTATCGCGTGATATAAATATATATGCATCAGTTCTTTCATACAAAAACCATTCCAATGTCATCATATTGAAAATTGAAATATACATATATATTATCCTTCTATCGATGTATTTGTAATGTTACATCACTTGTTAAATCGGTAGCGACGGTTAAGTAAACTTTAAATACAAAACATTTAAAAAAAAAAAACATTTAGAGAAAGTAACTCGAAACTGTTGAAGTTGTGTGCGGTTTCAAAAATCGACGCAAGATCTTCCCGAATCGATTGAAATCTTCGGATGACTCAGAAATATCAGAAAATTTGCATCTCGCGAATGATGTATGAATGACATCGTAACGTGGGCAATTGTTCATCAGTTTACAATGCATTTCGAAAATTATTGTTGTCCGTTTTCTGCTTCAATTTTCAAAATGTAGTAAAAGTTTTTAAAAATATGGTCACAAATTGCTTACTTTTACTTAATGAACGGCAAAATTTCTAAAAAAATTCCGAGCTTAATGGTAATGTCTTGTTAATGTTAATGCAGCCGTTTCCTTTTCAACAATTAATTCAAATATGAATAAAATTTTCATATTTACATTAGTTAATAAAAACTTGAAAGTTTAATATTTAAAATTCCAATTTAGGATATCTAGAGGAAATGTCGTCAATTTGTTTTTCTTTCTTTTATCGAAACTTGTTTAGCGCTTGAACGAAAGAATATAGGAAAAAAAATTAAGTAGAATTTTGAAAAAGTTCACTTTTTTTATATCTACAATAATTTAGTTAAAACAAAGCCAACTCATTTTAAAGGAACATTATATGGTACCAGTAAATATATATATATATATATATATATATATGTATATATATATAAAAAAAAAAAAATAAATAAATAAACGATAAAAATGTCAATATGAAAATTTATGTAATATTTGTTTTAAATTAAAATTTTAAAGCTTAAAATCAAAAAACACAATATTTATGATAAATTTATGCATAACACTAAACTGAAAACGTACTAATTAATATAATTTATGAAAGAAACAAATTAAATAACACATATATATATATATATATATATATATTGAATATGTATGTAAATGTATGTATACACGTTTCCTTTTATAAAAACATGCAGACAACAGAATAAATTTTTATAATATATAAGTGTTAAAATGTTTTTTTATTTTTTTTTTTATTTTTCAATAAAACTTTATGCAAATATAATTTTTTATATATAAATTATATATATATATATAACATAAATGACCATCATTAGTTTAGTTTGCAATATTGATTGTATTATGTATATGAGTACATATATATATATATATATATATACATGTTATGTTGTCTAAAAAATATTGAAGTTTGACAAAATTACAAATTATAAACTTATTTCATTCGCATGATAAAGGTTACTATTTTAAGTTTAATATTTGTTAGAATTCCTAATATTATATGTAAGAAGGGTATAGGCGGGCAATGCTTATAGAATAAACATTTTAAACTATCATTAAAGCGGCTAACAAGTGTATAATGACTTTATTGAATTGCTATCAATAGACAAATATCATATATGTGTCGCGCGGATATATCACCACACACAACAAAGAGTCAGTCAGAGTCCATAAAATAAACACTTTTTCACCAGTTGAGTTATTATCAATTTGAATAGGATAGGTGTGCGTTTGCGTGTTTGCGTTCTTGTATCCTGTGTATGTGTGTGCATTAATACGTATATATATATATGTCAGTTACTATTTACAATAGGTGATTGTTGCATATAAACAGTAGTTGTTATGGCGCGCTGCAGTACTCTCATACAAGATAACTACATATATACGTAAATTCAGCGAATTGTTGATTGTGTGTCTACGAGGCTCTGTATTTTATTGCATGTAGGTTTAAAATGTCTCGTAAATAAGTGCATATATATACATCTGCACCCATAGTGCATATATATCCTATTGATGTGAATATCTATCTATATATACATATACACCTATATATATATATATATATATATATATATATTTATATAAATTAATGATGACGAAGGTAAATAAAAATTCGTTACTATCGAATGACTTTTACTAAAGTTTTTATTTGCAAACTCGTGAACAGTGTATCAAAAATTTCAAATGGATGAAAATGACCCTGAAATCTCGATCGAAATTGGAATTGAGTTTAATCGTGAATGCCTCTTGATTTGTTAGTCGATTTTTTTTTACCGATTTCGGTGTAAATTTCACAATTTGAAATCAAAGAGATTTGACCACAATCGCTTCCTATATATACCTTACAGAAGTACTCATGACTTTAACTATTTTCAGTCACTTTTGGTACGATTTTAGAAACGTTACGCGAGCTGCATACGAAGATCGATGATTCGAGATAAATGAGTGCATAATAAATAAGAAGAATATTTATTATGCTCATCAATTTATAGATTGGAAAACGTGTTTGACAACATAGTCAGTCAGTATTGCAATTACATAAAAATAAGTATCCGATTACAATGCGATAGAGGCGTCACTAGCACATAGCCAAGGATGCTAAGGACTAAATTTCTAATATTCAGTTTTCGTAAAATAATTTGAGCGCATCTTAAGACCCAGTCAACTGATATCGAAGTAATGACAATAATTTTTAACTTAAACATTAAGACTCTAACGGATCAGACCAATATCTACGACTTAGCATTGGCATGAAATTGAATATTCACAATTGTCACACGACTGCCTTTTACTGATAGGAAAATTTCTCTTCAAAATTTGATCTGTGCATGGGAAATTACCGTATTTGGTCCAGGAAGCGCAGCCGGTCACAATCGGCCCACAACACCACTTGAAATATACCTTAGATCGGTGACATCGATTATTCGCACTTTACGTTTCGCAACGAGCCCAAGTTCTGGCAGACAATAGTAACATGTATGATGTCCTGCTGACCAATTATTTTTGCCATGAAATAAAGTAAATGGATGTCTTCGGGCGGATTCTTTAAGAAAACTAATGTACACAAATCATTTTAACAAAATATATATATTTGTATCCATATATTTGATATGGCATACAGAGCACGTACCTGCTTTCGGCATATCACAGAGCTTTTTTTAAGCTACCCTCCGCGTTCATCTTTGAATAGATTTCTAAAAATTGTAAAATTAAATCAAAATTTTGACAGGTGCATGCATGTTCGCGAGAGTGACAGAAACTCGTAAACAAGTCTGAACATCTGTGCAAAGATTTTCTTAGTATTGTTGATGCAGTCGCTGCATACGATATTTTTAAATGATAAAGAGAAACGTTTTCCTTTTTTTTTGCTTAAAACTTTTTTTTACACATTTTATGAAAGCAAAAAAGCAACAACAAAAGAAAAAATAAAAAAAGGAAAAAAACTCTTCTAAAAGCTTTTTTTATACATATTATATTTTAATTAAATCGCAAATGATATTAATTTATCATATAACCAATTATCCAGCCAGTCAAACAGCTAACCA